CCGTACGATTAGGCTGATTGGTTTTTCGCGTGTAAATTCGCACTTCTCGCAATCACCAATTGCATTACTTCGACGAAAGCAATATAAAACGTGCGATTGGTTTTATCGTTGGATAAGCAATCGGCAAGCACGCCAAGTTCTCTTTTCTATCGTTTTCCTGCTTCCTGTCTTTTGCACTTTCCATTTAATCAAAAGACGAGAGATGTGCTTTTGAGAATTTCATCTTTACACGTCTACAGAAAGACTGAAAGAATCATTTATAATCCGACGCCTCGATAATTTTCGGTTTTGTTCCCGCAAGTTCTGTGGTAATAACGCTCAATTCAAAGTAAAAAGATACGAGAAATGGCAGATCTAATCGATTCGCCGTTAAGAATAACATTAACTTGCATCAGAACTATATTTCTTCTATATCTGACAATGTTACCAAGTCAATGTTACGAAAAAATGAAACAGCCTTGGTGACACGAGATCTCGTTGCGACAGTGATACTGCAAAATAAACCCGTGCACTACAAATGGCGTAATTATATGTGACATGAACGTTACATTAATAGTGTGAGGCATGTAATTACGATCTATTCAGAGCCTTTTTTCAAAACACACGATATTATGTATCATCTGCTGTAGTTCGCAAAAATGATCTTCACAGTTAATTAAGTATTTAATGGATTGATACTCAAAAAAGATGTTATTTTCAAAAAAAGAATTATGAGTGCCAAAAATATTTTCTTCTATTTTTTTTTTTTGAATAAATAAAATATTTAGAAAAATAGCTTTTCCCCTAAGATTTGACAAAAGTTGGTTTACTTTTATAATTGGATTATGTTATGCAATCTATTCTATTCGATAAAGTCAGAATCATCAAAAAAATTTATATAAAACGTTTTTTTATATCATATGTTTAGTCTAATCATGATTTTAACAGAAAAATACGCGTTAATAAAAAAACATTAGGCTTGTTTAAAGAGAATATATCCAATTTTTCTTGTTAAAATTTTGGAGCACATAGTTTTCAGTGAAATATATTATTAATGCAGAATATTAAGCAGTAAGACGCGAATAGTAGAAAACGTTTTAAAAAAACCCAGTCTATCGATTATTGATGTGCTGAAATACTTCTATAACAAAGAGAAGGAGACGATACGTTTCTCGACAGGCATTTAGCTAAGTTTAGCGGTAGTTTCAGATGGCTGGCACTGTTTCCCCGACGATGTGTTATCGACGTGTTAACGGTGTTACGTGTTGCGAACTTGCAGTTCGTTCAACCCTCATGATCGTCGGGTGTGCAAACGCAGCTTTCAGTCTATTAGCGATTCGATGCAATGAACGATTATTGCACCACAGGCGTGACGCGTGTTTATTTGAATTGCTTCGGATCGTAAAATATGAATTTCTCAGTAAAATCATGCATTTCTATCTTGATGACAATATCTGAAGATTTTACTTTTCTGAAGATTTTATTTTTCATGTTGCAAACTCGATAAAAAGCTTGCGCCAATTTTTAACTATTCGATACGGAGCAAATAAATTTAAGCGTCCTCGTATTTAAGATATGTCTTTCTGTTTTGTCCGTAAAATTAACTGACGATGATAGCGCACAAGTAGAAAGTAAGACAAAGACAAATATATTTCTGAAATCTATTAGAAATTATTAAAATATTAAACTTAATATGTAAAATCAAAATGTAAATATAAATTGAAATGGGCATATTGGTCTATCTAGCACTAAAATATGATTTTCTATGCAGTGGATGCGCTTTAAACTGTATATGCATATGTGCTAATTTATAGTAAAGTGAGGTATTTACAGCACACAAGTCCCCTGTTTGCCTAATGGCAGTATGCTACCGTTTATACCGTATGCTTTGAAAGAAAACGAGCGGATGTGCATACCTAAACAAAGTCATTCGTGGAGAAGAGACCAAGTTAAGCCTTAATAAATATTTTCTGTTCTGCTTGACACAAAATATAGTCTGTTATAAAACTGTGACAGTAATAATTTATGGTTTTAAGAAAAGAAAAAAATGGTATTTTAAGAGAAAAGAAAAAAATTTCAATTTTGGCTTACAAACCGGATTTCTTTATATTCTATTTAATGTAATGTTTCAATATTTTACTAATGATTAAATGTATATAAAAAAAGTATTTATAAACTCTGGAATTTTTTACGTATTTGCTATGTTTTGATTTTATATTCCGAAAACTTGAATGTTACGTGTGTATCATTAATTTAATTAAATTAATTTTAATTACATTATACGTACTCATTAATTAACTGAAACCAGCCAATATTAGCTTATCATGGAATGATTGATTATGCAATTCATGTTTTAAATATTAATCATATCTTTATCTTTTTAACAATCTCTTTAACAAATAAGATATTTATCGCAATAATTACTTTAAACGTTGATACATGCGTCAATGTTTTTTTTTGCGTTTTCGATGTCGTAAAGACGGGAAATTATACGCGATTTAGTCTTTAGAATGCGATAAGATCTTTTAACAGAAAATATACGACGTTCAGAGGAGAAAGAAATCGTCGATCGTATACAAGAACTCGTTGTACCATATTCGGAAGCGACACATTTTCGCAGGGCTGTACAAAGGTACATTTCACTGCCCTAAATAAGTAGAATTTCAATTTTACTTTCTTGATTAATATCACAAGCTTTGCAGCAGTGCAAGAAATACTTTCGTTCAATTAGTTTCTATATGTTATTCTCGTAATTTTCTATCATGCGTAAAAGTTTATTGGAGTTTTTGCTAATATTCTGGGTTTAATGAATTAATTATCTGTGAGCATTAACTGTGGATAATTTTTCGTTTTGTCATTATTAATTGATAATAATAATTGACTTATTAGTTAACAATAATGTACTGTAATTTAATCGTTAAAGCACAATATATTATAATATTAAAAATGCTATATTGATTACATCTTTATGATATAACAAAATTATGATAACAAGATAATTTATGTAATAATAAGATATAAATTATATCTTCCTTTCTCGGCTTTCAGTGACAATCTTATTAATTTTAATTAGATAGTATTCTCCCTAATGATCATGAGCTTTCGTGAGATAAGCAGTAGGGCAAACCGCAGGAAGAGCACACTGTCTTGCGTGTGTTGATCTTACGGCTTACTTTGCTTTAAGTACGTGATTGCCATTTGCGATTTCTTTCAGTCTGTGCGCTCCCCATGTAAACCACGTTTCCGGGGAGATAAATACGTCCATTCATTCATTTACCGGTAACAACTGTTAGTAAGACTGTCGGTTAGCGTGTTTTTTTAAAGACTTGTTAAAATGCACTATCGACTATGGATGACTTCCACATGCCAAACGAGGAATCGATTGACTGCCATTAAGTGCAATGAATGGCGCGTTGCTTTTATTGCGAATAAAAAGTTTTTCATGTTGCGAGCTGACATAAGGTTCTCGTTAAAAAAGTTTAGATATTTTTTTTTTCATGCTATTATCAATCGTTGAAAAATTCAATGGGATGCACAGTTGTCTGATATTTCTTCGAGTATTCGAGAAAAATGATAAAACGAATAAAACAACCGTTTGAAAGTTAGTACCGATCCTTTCTTGTCTCGCGAGGCAATTGTGAGTTTCTTTCTAAGCATGGCGCTAATTTAATATGCAACGATGTGAATGCACGTGTCGTGCGTCTAAATATAATTTTCCATACGTGTCAGTATGTTGGAAGAATATTTCACGAACGTGCAAGAGTAGCAGATTGCAGATTAGTAAATATTCTAAAATATGCAAAAGCTGACATCATCCCTGTCTTTCTATTTTTATCCGCGATGTTATAAGCCAGTTACATCATGGCGCATGAAATCAGCGTACGATCAAATCACCATCGTACGCAATAGATGATGATGCCGAGTCATTCGATGGAATACCATCTCACGTACTTAGCAATTCGATAAAGCGAACAGGTACTTACAGTACTCGCGAGTTTCTGCCGGTCGACCTAAATTTCAAGTTTGCCGTTTCAGTCGCCGGGGTTAACTAATGTCAACGCGATAGATGATGATGAGCCGCCGCTGCCGCGCCGGCAATAATTTTACGAGGGGTAAAACTGGTAGTAGATCAACTACAGTGTTGTTCCACTTAATGCATTATAAATTGCGAAAGTATGTTAGCTACAAAGCGCGTAACGAACAAAACGGAGATCTTAAGATAAAGTAACATTTCTTTTCAACTGAGAAATATTTCTCTGAAATAGATAAATTATAATAGAATGAAGAGAATACGAATAAAAGTATTAATTTTACTTTTAAAGAAATCACATATGTCAATTCGGTTTCGAATTCTAGATTTCTTGATTATTTCTTAGGGTAATCAATGATATGATAGAGCAACTTCAATCATCTTCAATGATTATGATATGTAAATTTAGTATTAAATTAAGAATGAAAAAATCTGAGAGAGAATTATATGCGCAGAATTAAATAATTAATCTAACTTTGTACACACAATGTGTTTGTTACATTTCAGAATTTATTAATTACTGCATGCGTAATGTCAAATTGTAAGATTTATCAGACATACGTATGATGCTGATAAAATATATTTTTCAATTCTCGATTGTCAATTAGACTCGAACATACTATTTTTCGATTGGGTTTTCTAAATATGTTCAGATCATATTTGCATATGATTAGAGAACGCGACATTTAGAAAGTGTTTTCCAATTTCGAACTACAATATGCTTAAAAATTATCGGTTTATTAAAAGATAAATTTCGAGAAAATGATTAAATACGATAATATCCGCTCAAGTGAATCCGCACGTAAGTTTATCAGGCATGTTTGTCATGTCAAATAAGATTATTTGACACAAGATACATTTTACTTCTGTAATTTTGTATCAATATTGAGCATTGCGCCTTGAAACGTTTTTCTTAGAATATTTTAAGATCTGTTAAATGAATTTTACAATAGATTAATTATTGATTGATTGATTATTGATTATGTTGCAGATGAGCGAGAAGACGTGCAAAAGAAGACGTTTGCCAAATGGATAAACTCACAGCTTCTTAAGGTAAAAGATGCATTCGTACTTGATTCGATTTACTTGTTATTACACTCCAGTTATTCGTAGAGTTATTTACGCGTATAATATCCGAAAGAAGTTTCACTCTTAAACCTTTTCATGCGTGGAACGTAATAAGTATCTACTTGTTACACGCATGTCTGTTAATCATCTGAGTCTCAACGCGATGTAATAACTTGCTGAGAGATGCTTCCTGAAAGGAAGAATGCGAGGCGAATGCTTAATTGATCTTATTTTTTGTAGAATCATCACGATCCGATCAGCGATTTGTTCATCGACTTGCGAGATGGAAATCGCTTACTGTCCCTCCTGGAAGTGCTCACTTCTAAAACTTATGTAAGTATGCTTATCTGCGTATCGCAATAAATGCTCAGCATAGTTTCACAGTGATCTGTGATTTCGCACAAGCTTTTCCGTGCTAGTAATATAGATCGAAAGCGCCGTTAAATCGCAAAGGCGATCATTTGAATATCATTCAGCCGACAGCGCTTCCTAATAAAATTATTCCTTAGACACGTCGCCGGCACTCGTGTTCGCCGTAGCGAATTGCGAGCAGGTGCACGTGCATCGGCATTATTTGCATAAGAGTGCATGATTATAAACGCGCGGTAGGCGTAAGAACGTTCCGTTCTCGAAATGTATACCGCGCTATGGCATTTGCATTGCCTCATGCAGGTGTCCGCTTTCATCGATGAAATTTATTTTGTACAATGGTCCATAGAATTAGTCGAGTGTAAGGATTATTTTAATACAAGTCGCGTAAGCTCAAGGAAAAATTTTTGTTTTTTTTTTCAACGAAGACAATACGTATTGTTTTGCAGAAAAGGGAACGCGGTCGGATGCGAGTGCATCATCTCAATAATGTTAACAAGGCATTGCAAATTCTTGAACAAAATAATGTAAGTATACAATTGCAGCATTTATGTCATATTTAACTGTTAGAAAAGTGAAACATTTAACAAATCGCGTAAAATCTCATTTTATGTTAATTATATTATCCAATAAGTGATGTGAATAATGTTGTATAAATTTTTACGAATACTATAAATTATCATATGGAATTTTAGGTGAAACTTGTCAATATCAGTAGCAATGACATTGTTGACGGTAATCCCAAATTGACACTTGGTTTAGTATGGAGTGTTATTCTTCATTGGCAAGTAAGTTAAATAATATCTCTCATATAAAAACTAAACTGTGCAGTCTGTCAAAAAATATTTTGATCTTAATTTGATTCAATTTATGTCATTTATGATTTATTAATTTTAAAATAACATCTAATTTTTTCTAATTTTGCGCCACAGGCCATTATTGGCAAGAGAAATCTTGTGCATAAAGTAAAATCGACTTATAGCATGTCTTTGCCATGTCAAGCAAATGATCGTCCATGCCATAAGATTCTAATTAGCTACGTGGAACCTAGTTTATGTGATAGATTATTCCCTATTTCCAAACTTAAAGAATATTGGAGACTCTTTGAACGGAATAAATCTAATAAGTCGAACAAGTCGAATGATATAAAAATGATTTCAGCTCTGCAATGTTAAAGGAATTACGAAACATTTAGTTTTAGTAAGAGTTAAACAGGCCGGCAATATTTATGAAATATCTTTTTATTAAAAAAAAAATTTTAAAAGAGCTTTAAGACAAAAGCATTTTGTTTTGTATCAATAATTTGTCGTACGTAATTCATTATCAACTTTTTTATTAATACGTTATATCAACAGGTACACTATCATTTGAAAGATTTGATGACAGAATTACAACAAACAAATTTAGAAAAGACACTTCTTGCTTGGTGTCGTCAAAATTCACAGGTAATACTGCGAATTATCGAAAAATAGAAAGAGATATAGACAGTTAGTTTATTTGTATCGCTTTTTTTTTAGAATTACCCTGGTGTTGACATTAAAAATTTCACAACATCCTGGTCAGATGGATTAGCGTTTAATTCGATTTTACATAGATGGAAACCTCACTTGTTTGACTTTAATAATATTGCGCGCAAACATCCGAATGCCAGATTGGATCATGCTTTTTCGATTCGCACAGGAACATCTTGGCATTCGAACGTCTTTTGGATCCCGAAGGTAATTTAATTTAAAGCAAGCTATGTCACGTTACGTACGGTATTAACGATAATTTTTTGCATGTTTAGAATAAGAATATGTAAAAAATTCTGTCTAATTGCGCAGTATTTTGGAATTAATTTATTGACATATTTAATTGCAGATGTCAATACTTCAGTACCGGATAAGAAATCTATAATGATGTATGTTATGTGTCTTTTCCAATCGTTACCACATTCCGGAGATGATATTGGTGAGCTAGATCTTTCAATTGCAAGCGACAGTACTCCGGTTAGCCCAGTTACAACTCCAGGAACTGAAGTATATAACTCTTAATTTAGCGAATGAGCAATAATTATGCTATATTATTATACCAGTCGTATATAAAAAGAAACTTAATTTACAGAATACTTTGTCGTTCAGTAATTTTGGAATGCCAGCTTCGCGACCAATGAGTTTAGCTACTAATGTTTCCGTCGAGCTTGGCGGTTATCAGGTTGCGCTTGAAGATGTTTTAACGTGGCTTTTGGAGGCCGAGGATAAATTGAATCATGCCCCCGAGCCAGGCTCGACTCTAGACATATTGAAACAACAATTCCATGAGCATGAAACCTTCTTGATGGAACTATCCGGTCATCAAGATGGAGTGGGGGCTGTTCTAGAAGAAGGTGCGAGATTGTTAGCTGAAGGCGGATTGCATAAAGATGAAGAGCATGAGGTACGCGTGCAAATGTCTTTACTGAATTCTCGATGGGAAGGACTACGAATGCGCGCCATGGAAAGACAAACCAGAATTCACGAGGTTAATATGTATTTTATACATTTTGGCGATGAAAATAATATATATTGTGTATATAAAAATTTTTAGTAATTTTTTATAAATGATATTTAGCTACATTGTATGAATCTATAATATCGATTCTATGTTTATATTTAGGTCTTAATGCAAATGCAACAGGCTCAGTTAGATATTCTGCGACAGTGGTTAACGAAAACGGAAGACCGAATTTCTCTCATGGCAGCAATTGAATTAAATCCGTCAACCTTCGAAGAGCAAATGAAACATCTCAACGAATTGGAACAAGATATTCAGGCACAACAAGATATAGTCGATGGTATGAGAAACATGGTAGTGGTCGTGGACGAAGAAAATTCCGAAGCAGTTTATGCACAAATGGAAGATCAATTATCCGCTCTCGGTGAACGTTGGAGTCACATCTGCCAGTGGAAAGAAGAGCGACGCCAACGATTGGAATCCCTGTCTACGCTTTGGCAAAGTATTATTGACGATTACAAGAGATTAGTAGCCTGGTTGAACGAAACGGAAATTACATTGAAGCAAATGGAAGCCAATCCGGCATCTGAATTTGGCGAAGTACTAGACAGAGTAAAGAAACTGCAGATTCTTAAAGCGGAAATGGATTTAAATCAGAAGAAATTAACTTCTTTACAAGAATCAACTCAGGATTTAGATGGCAATAGCGCGTCTTCGGAATACGCGAATATTTTAGAGAAGATCGAGAACTTGCAAGATCGATGGGAAGCTGTTGGACAAATCATGGAAGTTCAAACTCAAAGGGTAATTTAAAATCGTAGAATGTTGCATTTTGTAAAAAAACATGTTTTGTTCCTTGATAATTTTTTTAAAAAACATTTTTTATATTATATTAGATAACAAATTCTGGATTTGAATTTGACTTAAAGTCCGAGGAGAACACGAAAACTATTAAAGGAAATGAATGGATGTCCGAAACAGTAACAAGCATAGCATATAAGGAAGAAATTACTGCAACAGTATGTATACTGTTACTTTTTCAATATCTTTTATATTTGGTTTTCATGAAATGCTTTTCTTTTCAGTCAACACCGCATAGCGATTCAAAGAAACGACGTGTCGATAGTATCATCAAGCATGAATTTGAATCAGCATTACTACATTTGTATAAATGGCTAGATTATATCGATTTAGAAATTGGTCGTTCGGAGGGAGTATTTGACGAATTAAGTGTGGAAGAGAAAAAAGTTGTTTACGAAGATACTCTTGTAGACGTAGAGTCGCATAAAAGTGAATATGACAAAGTTTTCGAAATTGGCAAACAACTTATCGATGAGTTACAAAATGCGAATGAATCTGCCGAAGAAGAAGAATCCAAAATTAAGGATATACAAAATTGTTGGATGGCGACAAATAATCGTCTCCAGGAAATAAAGAAGCGAATAGATTATTTGGAAGAAATAAAGAAATTCCGGACTGAACTAGCTAGTCTAAATCTGATGCTGGAAAGTTACACTAAGTGGTTTGATGCAAATAAGGGAAACAACCAAATAGAACCATTCAGGGTAAAATAAAATATTGTTTTGTAATATAATTTAATTTTCAATTTTGTTGATATATATATATATATATCAATTTCAACCTTCAAAAATTTGATTTAGGTTAAAATTAAATCAATGAAGTCTCATGACGACCGCATAAGAAAGATGCTTGATAAAGCTAAGGAATTGACAGAAAACCAAGTTGCAGTTACAGAAAGCAGTAACGAGGATACAGATGTAAAAGCGTTCTCTGCTAATTGGGACAAGTTGTATACAATGTAAGTTTTACTTCAAAAATATGCACTTTATACATTTGTTGTCATTTAATAGAATGCAATACTTTCAGGTTGTCGGAGCGATTGGCTGAAATAAGTAATGCTATTGATAGAACACCACCTAAAAAATATATCGAAGCAGTCGCTAATCTGACATCGTTTATTAATAACGTGGAAGGTGTTCTATTATCAGAGCATGTAATTATGTCTGACGAAAAAACTATAGAAGAGCAAATAAGAAGATTTCAAGATATACAAAGTTCGTTAAAGGAACAGGAAGAAACTTTCAAATATGTTAACTCTACTGGACAAGATCTAATAGAAAAAATAAATGATGATTCTTCAGCACAACGACTTAAAGACGAACTACAAGATTTGAATACCAAATGGTGTGATATTCCTGTTATCTTGGAAGAGAAACAACAGATTCTTGCTAAAGGTGAAAAAAAGACATACGTAATATGCAAAATAAGTTCTTTACTCAAATGTTTACGTTATTTAACTATTGTGTTTTATTGATGATGATTATAATAAATTCATTTGCAATGTATATCTTTTAGATATCGCAATTTTGCAAGCGTTTAATACCGAGCTTTCTACACTTGAGTCTTGGTTAAAAAAATCGTCGTTGTTCCTAGAAGATTTATTTAAAGACGATATTATGGATAACATTGAAGAAACGGAACAAAAATTAGAACAAATTCGTACATTTTATCAGGATATAGATAAAATAAAACCGCAGATAGAAGCATTTCAGATGTCGGCAAATGGTATTCTCGAAAAATCTGAACCCAACTTTGCAAGTCTATTAAACAGCAAATTAGAGGTTGTAACATATAAATGGACAGCTATTGTTGATGAGGCTAAAAATTTAAGCGATAAATATGAGGGCACTTTAAAGAAAAATGATGATGTGAGTATATATAATTTTTATTACAAAATATTTAAATGTTTCTTTGTTATATAACACGATTCTGTTTTCATTAGATTACAAATGGTATAGAAGATTTTACAAAGTGGTTATCGAGTTTAGAGAAGGAAATACCAATAGAATCAAGAATAACATCTTCAGTAGAACTTTTCCAAGTTCGCGGTCGATATCAAGCGCTAAAAGACAAAGTTGACAAACGAGTGGAAGAGTTTAGAAATCTCAACGAAATGGGAAATGATAAATTGTTGAGTTCAGAAGGATCATCTGTGCAAGAGCTTGGTAGACGCTTTACTTTCTTGAATGCACGATGGACCGACGTTACAGATCGTATATATGAACGCTACAGGCACTTACAAAATGCTAGTCATGAATACGGAGAATTTCGTGCTTTGGTTGCACAGGAAAGCGATTGGTTAGATAAGTTGGATAAGCGATTAAAAAAATCACCTAAAGCTGCTGCAGATGCGGAAGAAATTTCAGAAGAGCTTGATGTAAGTAATTCATTTAGTTTTATATAAAAAAAATTGTTTGGTAATATGGTTGTGTACGTGTGTGTTATTAATTGAATTATTTAATTAATAACATTCACTAAACTTTAAAAAATTATTTAGTATTTAAAAAGGTAAATTAATATCTATTTTAAATACTTTCTAAACAAAAATTAAATTTCTCTCTATAAACTTTTGTAACATTCTTATTCTCTGTGTATGTAATACTCGAAGGCATTTTATATATATTGCATTTAAGGATTTAGAAAACTACATACGGAATCATCCAGAATCTAGACTTGAGAAAATTCAAGAAATTGGTAAACAACTTATTGATAGCAATATTATGACTCATTCCATTGAAAAAGATGTGGAAGGATTGACAAATCGGTGGGAAAACTTAAACAAACAGGTATGCATGCATAATTATGTTTGTCACTAATGAAGTGTATGATTTATACTAAGAGACATTCTAAGAAGCTTATATATTATTTATCGAATTGTGTGTAACAATAGTTTTAAGTATTAAATATATAAGCATGAATTGTTAAGAATAATTAATTAATTGCTTATAACTGCATGTGGCATTATTATGAACTGCTCAAGACGATTATGAACGATATTACGAAAATAGATATAATAAAATTATAAATAAGTTTTAATCAGAAATTTTCTATTACAACAAAATCATTAAATATTATATTGTTGTATATAGAATTGTATATTATCTCCATTTGACTGTGAAAAAAACAAATTGTAATGATCAGCAATTGCACTTACTTAAAGATAGAAAGATAGAGTTATATGTTTTGAGTAGGCAGGGCAACGGGCCAAGCTGTTGGAAGGATCAGTGAAGCAAGCTCAGCAATCGGAAGGGCGCATTCTTGCCCTTCAATATTCGTTAACACAAATAGACTCTGTACTAACTGCACGTCTTGATTGCGACCTCACTGCTGATGATTTACCTCATGATTACCAGGTCTGTTGATGATACTTATACATCATATATTATGTGTTATTTTTATAAATCTCATATACTCATTAAGGCAATTAAATCTAATGCATCTGCGATGCATTAAGGCATAATATCAATTATGATTTTATTGCTTATAAATGCATTCTGTCACTTAAAAGACTTGTCGATAACTATCAATTATATGAAAGCAATAGTTATTATACTTTCTGCCATTTTTAGTTGTTTGTCCGTTATATAGGTAAGTCGCGCAAGATTATGAGAAATATTTATCAGTGTATAATAGAAATTCTCGCGGAATATCAATCACATATTAAAACGTGCAGTAGTTTTATTTTAATAAATAATGTATTACTTTATCAAATAGTTTGAAATAATCTTCTACAGGAAAAATAAGTACTCGTAAAATATAGACTTAAAAAAATTTTTTTGTATATATAAGTAATAATTTCAGAAATAGCATGATGAATACAAGAATAGCATGTTCAAAATTTATATATAATTATTAAGATCCGCATCTTTTCTATAAATTTTACTAATCACAAAAAAGAATGTAAAATGCACACTAATGCATAACACGAAATGCAACTAATAGAGCGATGGAAGTAATTTATTTTATATGTAACAATTATATATTATGATCACAGAAATTAATGGAAGAGTTGGAACAACAACATGCTACGCTTGAGGAAATGGCATCGCAAATTGAGTCGTACAAAGCTTCTGGCAAACAGGAAGCAGCACTGCGACTGCAAGAACAAATGTCCCTGATTGAACAGAAATATGCTAAAGTTCAAAGGAAGTTTCAACGCTTTCGTTGTTCGACCAATATAGAACCTAGATTATCGAGAGCTTTACGAGAACTCAGCGGAATAGAGGAAGCAACTTGTTTGCTGGAGTTGTCATCAGAAGATCCCGAAGCCATCGAGGGTCAATTAAAACATTGCTTGGTAATATTAATTATCTATTTATTTGTACACTGCGTTATCTAAGAAATTGATGTACGCATTAATAATGTGTTATTTAATAGCGCTTTTACCAGACTTTAAGTGAGATTAAAAGTGAAATTGAATGTATAATCGTAACTGGGAGAAAATTAGTTGAGGATAAAGCCGTTTCCGAGCCGGACAAATTTTCAAAGCGGATTGATATGTTGAAGGAGTTATATAATAAGGTAGATAAGTTTGTTAATTCGAAAAAGAAGTGTATTAGAAGAACAAACTAGATAATGCTTTAATTTGTTACAGCTTGGTCTTCATATAACAGAATCCAAATCCATACTAGAATCGGCATTAGATTTGTCACGTGATATGCATAAAAATCTAACATATATTAATATGTCGGTTGAAAGCATAAATAAAGAACTAGATACGCAAAAAAGTATGCCTGATCTGCCAGTAAATGCGATATATGTACGAGTAAGTATAAAACCTAATTTCATTTTTTATTTCAGATGTAAATGCGAATAATTAAATATTTGTCTCATTTTTATTGGATTAAATTATAAGGTCTTTTTATATCAATAAATAACGAAGTTTATGATTGTGTCACTATTCGCAGGAAACCCTGACCGAAGTAATCCCACGTCTCAATGTTATAAGAGATAAATTATTTAGATCGCAAGATGAATTTTCAAAACTGTGCGATCCTATGTATCTTGAGCAACTGAAGGAAAAAATGTCGGATGTAATTTCGAGATTAATTAATACAGAAAAAAGATTGCGACTTTGTAAAGGTTCAGAGGTAAATATTTTTTACGTAATATTTTTTGAAATATACATTTTAATATACATATTTTTTTGTTTTGTAAAAGGATGAACCTAATGTCGACGAAATAAACGCATGGCTTCTACAAGTTGAAGAGAAGTTAAATAAATTAGATGCAGTTCCAATTGATCAACTAACAGAACACCATTTTGAACAGTGCAAGGTATCGAAATATTTATATATAATATTAAGATACAAGAAGAAATAAATTACATATCCATTGCGTCTTGCAATGTGTAAAGTAACTAATTTTGATAAAACATCTTCATAATATTATTTCATGATGTTTTTAATGTTTTCTTGCTTAGGCTGTGCAAAGTGAAATGATAGAAGCAAAACCTAAAGTTAATCAGCTTCAACGTTATACGTTTTATCCCAAAGTAGCTGAAATATGTGAAAAATGGGAAGACATCTCTAACAGAATACAGGTATGTAGCTAATTTTTGTTTCGACACAAAATTATAATTTGTTTACCTGTTATCTTTTATCTAAAGTGAATTTTATCATTCATTGCTTATTCACTCATGGCTTATTCCTTGCTTTACACTTTAACAATCGGTATATATGTAATGCTTGTGCTTCTTAGTACCATTACGTATATCTCCATCATGTAAAACTTTTTTATTAATATATATAAAATTTTGTTATTCCAAAAAACACTGACTGTTTTTGGACATCAATTTCCATCGAATATAAAAATTTTTAATATTAAAGATGTCATCCCGTTCTTTTTTTGCAGCAGGATTTAAATGGAGCTATATACATTTCGATGAATGTTATTCTTTTTCTGTATATATTGATCATGTTTTAATTATAGTTAATATTATTGTACTTTTTGTTATTAAAAAATTCTTGGGTATAGATAGATGAAAATAATATATATATATATATATATATATATATATATATATATATATATATATATATATATATTAC